GTGGGTGGGTGGGGTGATCGGTGTCTTTGAAGGACAAGGAAAAATGGATGTAGGAAACCGGACTTCTGTCGCTGGTGGTTTCCGTTCTGTGGAGGGAGGCAAAGAGCCTTAATCCGGTCTGCGAATGGAAAAGGTAACATTGCACGTCTGTGTTTGGGGGACACACAACTCCTCCTGCAATGGGAATAAACTGCAGCCCTCTCCTGACACCCTGACACAGTGCCAGTGGGGGTGGGGGGCTGCTAGTGGATATCCAAGGAGGCCCCCCAGCAGAGGAGAGGGGATTTTTCAATTCATTTTAAACAAATCACTTGCCGAGGCTCATAGAGCCCAGCAACGCCACTGGTGTCCGTGGAAACACCACCAGAGCCCGTGAGTCCTCAGCACCAGGCAACTCCCCCCTCCGTGACAGGCAGAGAACCCTGCCCCCCCATATCAGCCTGCCCACGTCCAGAAGGCCAGGAGGGACAAAGGGCACCTGGGAAGACATAACTGGAAACACTCCACTGTGAGGATCGTGGCCTCAGCGACAGGACCCCTCTAGTAGGAAAATCAGAAGAGTCTTGGTGGATCGGTCCAGGGGTCCATCTAGTCCAGCATCTGGTCTCCCACAGTAGCCAAACCAGTCCTCTGGAGGGCCAACAAGAGGGCAGAGAGGCCTTCCCCTGATGTTACCTCTTGGCTCAGGGATTCAGAGGCTTAGTGCCTCTGAATGTGGAGGTTCCTCTCAGTCACTATGGCTGGTAGGTAGACTTGCCCTCCATGAGTCTATCTAGTCTCCTTTGAAAGCTGCTTATTCCTGTGGCCATGACTACGTCCTCTGGAAGCAGACTCCACATTTTAAACACTCTCTGTGTCCAGATGTATTTCTTTTTCTTTTTCCTGAGTCTGCTGCCCATCAGCTTTATTGGATGCCCCCAAGTTCTAATATTTTGGGAGAGGGAGAAAACTTTCTCTTTGCCCACCCTCTGTTGCAGCAGGACATCCCTATGCAGAAGACGTGCTGATTTGTCGTCCACAGGCTTTGTCCTTCGTTGTAAGTAAGACACAGGGAGGGGAAAACAAGCTTGACACAATACCTGGAATTAAGAACCACAAGAGTAAGAAAGAAGCCTGATAAAGGGCCACTATTAAAAACCTGGTGTAAAAACCCGAAAATACCTGTGTGACTATCACAGTTGGAGTGTCCCCAACAAACTGCAGTTTGCCTAACCACTGATCATACTGTCTTTGATTACAGGTTCCACTAATATGCCTGGGACAGACGTTATGCTGACTGGCCTGTAATTTCCTGGATCCCCTCTGGATCCCTTTTAAAAATTGATGTAACATTTGCTACCCTCCAGTCTTGTGGGACAGCGGCTGAATTTCGTAAGGGGTTACATCTACATGCTAATTCTTAAGAACTGTTGGGTGGGTGCCTTCAGAACTTTAACACTACGGTGGACCTCCTTAGGAGATGTCTACAATAGTTCATACCACTCTACGATAGTTAATGTAGCACAAGAACATGAACCCTGATCCGCAAACCACGACAAGGACGCCCCTTCCGATTCTGCAGGGCGATCCTGGGTGTGTCTTCCTGACCAGGGTCGGTGATGTAACTCCACCTTCTTTAGGTTCCTTTCTGCCCTTTTGATATATTCTCCTCTTCTTCTTCATACCAAGTAAGTGGAGGCATCTTTTTGCAATCAGAGGCGGGGAGATGGAAGAGCAGGACCCAGAAGGACCAGGAACTGGCAAGAGAGCAAGGAAAGACCCCCCCTCCCATCCAGGCAGGGAGTGGTGCTGAACTCTGGGAGAGAGCGGTGCCAGAGGTCCTGCCTCGGGAGACGGGGATCCCAGAGGAGCATCGCAAGCGTTTCCGGCAGTTCTGCTACCAGGAGGCGGCTGGGCCCCGAGAGGTTTGCAGCCAGCTCCACGGACTTTGCAAGCGCTGGCTGGAGCCGGAGAGGCACTCCAAGAAGCAGATCCTGGACCTGGTGATCCTGGAGCAGTTCCTGGCCGTCCTGCCCCAGGAAATGCAGGGCTGGGTCAGAGGATGCGGGCCGGAGACCAGTTCCCTGGCGGTGTCCCTGGCCGAGGGCTTCCTCCTGAGTCAGGCAGAGGACAAGCGGCAGGCAGAGCAGGTGAGGGAGCTTCATGCCATCTGTAACGCAATGGCAGTTACCTGGGTATGTATGATGGCTGCCGTCTGTGGTCGTTGGTTTAAAATGGTTCCCCATAAGGGTTAATTGAGCTGTAGTTCCAGACAGGGGACTGCAGGGGTACCACTCACTGGATTGAATGGGACTTCCTCATTTGCCTGCCTACATTTCCCAGCAGCTTTAGGGGAAAAGTGTGGGAAAGTAGTCGAGACCCACCCCAGGGGTGGAACCAGCCAGATGAAGACTTGAATCTCTAGGGAGTTTTTTGGGTTTTTTTAGTCTTGGCCTTCGCCTCAGCTTGCCACCTCACACTCCGTGGAAAGTCCAGGCCACTATATATCGTGGTGCACAGCCAGGAGGGTTAGCAGTATTGGTCTTAGGAGGAAAGGATGAAAGAGTTGGGTATCTTTAGCCTGGGAAAGAGAAGGCTTAGAGGGGACATGATTGCAGTCTTCAAGTATTTGAAGGGCTGCCATGTAGAAGATGGAGCAGATCTATTCTCTCTTGCTCCGGATTGCAAGACTAGATGTAACCGGTGGGAATTACAAGGGAGTCGTTACTGGCTAAATATCAGGACAAACTTCCTAACTGTCAGAGTGGTTGAGCAGTGGGACAGTCTGCCTCTGGAGGTGGTGGATGCTCCTTCGCTGGACGTTTTCAAGCGGAGGAGGCTGGGCGCCCATCTCTCAGGTATGTTGTAGGGCTATCTTTTGGCTGTGCTCCTGCAGAGTGCAGGGGGTTGGACTAGACGACATGCAAGGTCCCTTCCAACGCTGACATTCTATGATTCTATGGTGACCAGTCCTGAGGAGGGCTGGACTTTCTCTCCAACGACAAGGAGGGGGGAAAGCAAATCCTGTCCTGAGGCCACAACCGCCAGAGGTAGAGTGGTTGTGTGTAGGGACAGAGGAATTGCAGTTTGAGCCTGTTTATTTTCTGCTCGGTTGTGTTGAAGTGCCTGTGCTATTTATTTCTGTGCCTTACATCGTTTAAATAAACCTTCTTTTTGAATTATAAGACCTGGTAGTGCCTTGACCACATAGTCCTCCCCGCTCAGCATGTTACCAGAGGCAAAGGGAGGCCAAGGAACCCAAACGGGCCCAAATCGGAGGGGTTGGTAACTCTCCAGGGGGCACACAAAGATTAAGGTACCCACTTTCCCGGGTGGGGAATCAACCAGAGGGGGTCTCACTGTCCCTCTGGGAAGGCGGTGTATATTCAGTGAGTGGCAGCAGCGAATGAGGAGAGGAAGTAGCCCCACCAAGCAGGGTGGGCAGGCAAAAACGGGCTTGCAAAGCCACAGAACGGCTATTCAGTCTCCCAGGGCTGAGGGCGGGTCCCTGTTTCGCCACACCGTCCACTCAAGCTGTGACCTTCGACCTTCGCCTAAGACCTCTCCGCCCGATATGTGTCCCTCCTTCCAGACACTCCACCAGAGTTGATAGAAATTCAAAAACTTTATTATTGTTGCTGTGGTTCAAACAGCTCTGATGGTGGATGCAGGGGCGACGATGGGCAGGGGCAAGATCCGTCTCCTCGGTCTTTCGCATTCCTCCTCTTACGTATATCCCTTCCTGCAGTTTCAGATGTGGGGACCGTCTGTGAAGAAGGGAGTGAAGTTCTCTGAGGAGGAAGGACCTCCTTTGGAGCAGGAGCAGAAGGCGCAGGCCCAGGAGTGTTCCCAAGATGCCCTCTCCCATGGTAAGGGTGCCTCGTGCCCAGATTTGGGCACACTGTGAAGTTGTTGGACAAAAGGTTCAGGACAGGAGGAAAAAGAGATATTTCTGCACACCACACAGAGTGGACTGCTGAGACTCAGTGCCATGGAATGTAATGGTGGCCCCTCACTTGAAGGGGGAATTATACAGATTCATGGCGGGCAATTCCAGTCTCATGGGAACACAGGAGAATATAAGAGAAGTCATGCTGGATCAGGCTAGTAGCCCATCCAATCCAGGAAGTCTGTGCCGCACAGTGGCCCAAGGCCATGTGCCATCAAGAGGTCCACCAGCAGGGCCAGAGCTCCTAAACCCCTCCTACCCCACAAGTACCAAGAATACAGAGATTCACTGCCCTACACATAGATTTCCATCTATACCTTGTGGCTAATAACCACTCGTGGACCTCTGCTCCAGATGTCTATCCAGTCCCTTCCCAAAGCTGTTTAGGCTTGTAGGCGCCTCTACTTCCTGCGGGACTGAATTCTGTGTGTTAACTAAGATATTCCTATCTCACGCCCTGACCTGGATAGCCCAGGCAAGTCAGATCTCGGAAGCTAAGCAGGGTCAACTCTGGAAAGTACTTGGATGGGAGACCTCCTTGCAATACCGGAGGCAGGAGGTGGGAGCAGGCTTTATTCAGCCACCTCTCTGAATGTCCTCCAGGCCCCCAGGAGGGGTCACTCAACAGAGGTCGCCATGACTTCCAGATGCACACACACACTAGTTATTAAAAACAAAAATAAAAAATTCCTATCTCACCTAACTTCTGTTAGAGAGACTTAAGGCGGCTCAAAAAAGAAAAGTTGACCTGGCACCCCTGGGAGCTTTGGAGGTGGGGCCAGGGGTGGATGTGATGTCACAGTGATGTCGGCTGAAAAGCTAGACGTGACATCAGAACATCAACAGACACTCTGGCAACCGCTTGATATTACCCTCGAGTTCTCAGATGTGCTAATGTCACCTCTGGGTTTTTCGACAGATGCAGATGTGATGTATCGTTTGACCTCATTTCTTCACACACACACACCCTTCTCCTGGAAGCCTGAATTCAAAGGCACGTGGGAGGAACCAGCAAGCGGAAGATTGGTGCTCCTGGGCCTTAGGTCTGATTGAGCAGGGATGCCGCCACTATTTAGAGCTTTGGAATTCACAGGATAAATTTCCAGAGGCAGAGAAATAGGGAAATGGCTGAGAAGCTAAATGCATTTTTTGCCTCTGTCTTCACTGTGGAAGATGAGAAGAAACCGCTGATTTCAAGAGGGGTGTTGAAAGACCTGAGTCAGATTGAGGAGACGAGAGAGGAGGTCCTAAAACTGATAGACAACTTAAAAACTGATAAATCACCAGGCCCAGATGGCATACATCTGAGAGTTTTGAAGGAACTCAAATGTGAACTTGTGGATCTCCTGACAAAAATATGTAATCTTTCCTTAAAATCTGCCTCCATTCCTGAGGACTGGAAGGTAGCTAATGTCACTCCCATCTTTAAAAAGGGTTCCAGAGGAGATCCGGGAAATTACAGGCCAGTCAGTCTGACGTCGATACCGGGTAAATTGGTGGAAACCATTATTAAGGAAAGAATTAGTAGGCACATAGATGAACAAAACCTATTGAGGCAGACTCAACATGGGTTCTGTAAGGGAAGATCTTGTCTCACTAACCTATTAGTGTTCTTTGAGGGGGTGAACAAACATGTGGACAAGGGGGATCCAATAGATATTATTTACCTTGACTTCCAGAAAGCTTTTGATAAAGTTCCTCATCAAAGGCTCTTAAGTAAGCTCAAAAATTATGGGATAAAAGGACAAGTCCTTTTATGGATCAAAAACTGGCTAATTAATAGAAAACAGAGAGTGAGTATAAATGGGCAGTTCTCCCAGTGGAGGGGTGTAAGCAGTGGGGTACCACAGGGATCAGTACTTGGTCCACTGCTTTTTAACTTGTTCATTAATGATTTGGAGTTGGGAGTAAGCAGTGAAGTGGCTAAATTTGCGGATGATACAAAGTTGTTCAGGGTGGTGAAAACCAGTGAGGATTGTGAGGCACTCCAAAGGGATCTGTCAAAGATGGGCGAGTGGGCGTCAACATGGCAAATGGGGTTCAATGTGGCCAAGTGCAAGGTGATGCACATTGGAGCCAAAAATCCTAAATATAAATACACATTGATGGGGTCTGAACTGGCAGAGACTGAGCAAGAGAGAGATCTTGGAGTTGTAGTGGATAACTCACTGAAAATGTCGAGACAGTGTGTGACTGCAATAAAGAAGGCCAATGCTATGCTGGGGATTATTAGGAAGGGTATTGTAAACAGATCAGCCAATATCATAATGCCGCTATATAAATCAATGGTGCGACCTCATCTGGAATACTGTGTGCAATTCTGGTCACCACACCTTAAAAAGGATATTATAGCTTTGGAAAAAGTGCAGAAAAGAGCAACTCGAATGATAAAAGGGTTGGAACACTTTCCCTATGAGGAAAGGTTAAAGCGCTTAGGGCTCTTTAGCTTGGAGAAACGACGACTGAGGGGTGACATGATTGAGGTTTATAAGATTATGCATGGGAAAGAGCAGGTAGAGAAAGAGGTACTTTTCTCCCTTTCTCACAATACAAGAACCCGTGGGCACTCCATGAAATTGCTGAGCGGTCGGGTTAGAACGGATAAAAGGAAGTACTTCTTCACCCAAAGAGTGATTAACACTTGGAATTCACTGCCACAGGAAGTGGTGGCAGCTACAAGCATGGACGGCTTCAAAAGGGAATTAGATAAGCATATGGAGCAGAGGTCCATCAGTGGCTATTAGCCACAAGGTATAGCTAGGGGCTCTGGGGCAAGTGATGCTCTGTCTTCTTGGTGCTTGGGGGGGGGGTCAACAGTGGGAGGGCTTCTAATGTCCTGGCCCCACTGCTGGACCTCCTGATGGCACTGGTATTTCTGGCCACTGTGTGACACAGAGTGTTGGACTGGATGGGCCTTTGGCCTGATCCAACATTGGCGTCTCTTATGT